TGCTGGTGTGACTCAGGTCATCCTTTGTTTTCTTTTTCTTTTTTTTGCATGCATCCACACTACAGTCCAACTAATCTTCCACCTGTTGGGATTTACTTCTTTTTTTGTTTCTTAATGTTAATGTTATTGTTTTGTGTGTTTTTACTCTCTATGTGTTTATCCTATAATAATTATTATTGCTACTCCATTGTGTGTGTGTGAGTGTTCTTGGAGACTCTTTCTCTGTGTGTGCACCTGGGCTTGCACTGTGATGATGATGATGAACTGCTTTTTCCAGTGGGAAAGAGAAGAAATGATAATAACAAATGAATTTATATTTATAATTGCGTATATACACACATATAGACTTACACCCATAGTTGGTGTATATTTCTATGTTTATTGTGTAAACTGGGCTAATGGTTAATATCTGTTTTTTTATTTGCTCGTGGGTTGGCGGGTCATTATGTTTTTTGCCCTGTGGCAATTATGATGGTGAGTCCTTGGAAAAATAAGACAGTAACAGACAAATGTAGTATTAATTTCATATTAGCTCAAACATACGCACAGTTCTCTGGATTGTGTATTGTGTGCTCTTAATTTCTTTGTTTTGTTTTGCTTGGGCTTTCGTGTATGTGGTATTACTGTATTCTTTTTTTATTTTTTGTAACGTATTTTCACTGCTGTTTTTGTTTTGCTCTATTCTTTTCTTTATACTGTGTTACAATTGTTTTTTTTTTTTTGCAGTTAATTGGTCCTAAACAACACAGTATACTTTTTTGCCGAAATGATACTCGTGCAACGTCTTTTGTATCTTATGGTTGTGGTGTTAAGCGTGACATGTGTGGTGGCAGGTGAGGCACAACAACAAGAACCTGAAGTTGCTGAAGTGACTCGTGGGGATTCGGATCTTGCTGGAGGTGCAGGAGCTATTCGTGGTGGTGTTGATGATACTTGTAAAACTGAGCCTCCTACTTCAGACTGTCCTCGTATTCCCAGTGAACCTGTAGTTCCTCGTGCTGAATGTGTGGGATCTCCTGAAAAGAAAGGTTGCACTACCACTACTCTTAAACCTAAAGACACTTGCCCTGATGATTCTGAACCATCTTGTTTGCCAAAGACAACGCAAGAAATGGGTTCTGGTGAAGATCATCGAAACACTGATAGCGAACCTCCAGCTCCCACTGGTCCAGGTGTTCCTGCAGATGCCGGGGATTCTGTTTCTAACGAAGCACATGAAGGTAATGCTGATGCAGGTGCCGATGTTGATCACGGTGAAAAAAAACTTCCGGAAACTCAACCTGGAAAAGTACCTGAAGCTGCTGATGAGAGCCCTGCTGTATCTGTAAGTGAAGAGGGAACTGGAAACGGTGAACAAAGCACAACAG